CCACAGTAGACTGAGCAGATCCGTCGCCTGGACCCCGGCTGAAGGGAGTAATAATAGTCTCGGCGAGGCCAAGCGCCTCTCAATGGCTTTCACAGTCCAGTCCGGCAGACGCCCGAGCTGCACAAGGGCCATCGAGACCCGACACATTCGGGGGAACGCTGCCTGATCGAGGTTCATGTCCGACGCTAGCCTTCTAGCCAACAGCCGAGCCGGTCCGTCTGCCACCTCCACTTGTAATGGGTGAGGGCAGAGTACGTGTGATTCGAATCGGTGCTTGAGGATAGCCAGTGTGAAGAGGAGAGTGTCTCGATCAGCCAACGAGAGCAGCTCGTAGACCAAGCCGGATTCGAGGGCATGGACCGCCCTAGCACAGTGTTTAGCAGCGAGCTCAACATCGGGGCATGCTTTAAGGGCACCAAGACAAGTGAGGAATTCCGGGACGGACAAGGTAAGCCACGATAAGGACCCAAGGGCCAGCTCCCAGGAGGTAGGCTCCTCTACTTTAGCTAGTGAGAGCAACTCCAACAGGGGGACGAGAGCCTCTAGTCGGACACTACTGGTGACCATCGACGCGAGGATCTGCCATTCGCGATCACCTGGGCAGGTTCCCAGAGCTCTTGCACGGAACAGCCTCACGAGGTTGGCCGGTGAAACCTCATGTACTCGACTGACCGATAGCAGCTCCTCGAAGATGTTGTCGCAGTTCGTGCCGCCGACACTGAGGCCCAACATGGCTGCATAGAAGAGCGTATCGACTGATGACAACTGTATACGATTGGCGACACGATTCACTAGAGCTTGCATGCGGAGGTCCGGTCTCGTGAGGCCCTCTCGAGATGGTAACGACTCCACTACATCGAAGACGTTCTTAACGGCTCGGTCGAGGTCAACATCGGCACTCTTCACTGCTTGATCGAGACACAGGTCGAGCTTGGGGTGAATAAACACTGTAGAAGTCGACTGGACTAGACTCATATCCTTGGCCGTAGGGAGTAGTGGTGGCGCCCTCATGAGCTCTCGCTCCATGTCGCGG